TAGGATTTAAGCCCTGCATCCTGCTGGCATACACAGCACAAGGTTTCACCTCCTCATCTAACCCTGTAATGACACCCTAGTGTTGAAGACAGCATCAAAGAAAGTGCAGTAATAGTCCTCTTAAAGCAGAAGAAATAAGAAAATCCTCTTACCTGGGGCAGGAGACGGGGTAGCCACAAATCCATACCCATTCACTTTTGGAGACTCTTGGGGTATCAGTTCTTTCCCATCGGGTCCCACTTTGCCCTGTTTGTACTGAAATACAAAAGACAATGTGGAGAAAGGTGAGAGTCAGCTGCATCCAGCACACACACACAGTTCTGGGGGATGAACCACACGATTTGAGTCAGAAGTAAAATTATCCAACCTGAGCATTGAGGGCTGCAGCTTGTTGGAGCTGTGATTTGCTCACAGCTTGGCTAAAAGGGTCCTTCACAAAACGGGTGTTTCGATGCACAACTTCCCTGGGCTTCTTAAAAACTTCACTATCATCAGGTACACCTTGAAAAGCAAAGTGACTTTTAAAAAAGAGCTCTTTACTTCACTGCTTCACAGAAGTTATCAATTGTACATTTACAGCCAAAAAAGAAAACTACTTTTACAAAAATATATATTTTTCTATAGGAACAAACAGACTGACAAGTCCAAAGAGAATTCTTTGAGCAGAAGCAAACAAATGAAGATGACAACAAGTGATCATAAAGAAGACAGACCAGGAAAGAGCTTTGGCTGCTGAAAACAGGTACTTCTGTAATACAGATGAGCTTTTCAATGGCAAATAGAACATGATCAAACTTTGGAATCAGAGGCCAAGAAAAACAGGGAAAAAAAGACACTGTTTAAAAAAAAATTTACAGAAGAAAAAGCACAGCATGACCTGTAAGTGCTGCTCAGTCATGTACAGAAATGCTGTAAGCACTGTTTGGAGCCAACCCACCTGGAACCAATGCCTCACCTGTAGGATAATACATGAGGGTGTTCCGAGCTGTGTATTCCCAGGTATCCAGCCCAGCTTTCACATTCTCCAGAGCCTGCTGCTCGGCTGAAGGAAGTGCCAGGTTTTCATTTTGTCGCTGAAAGGGTGATGGAAAAAAAAAAAGTTTTAAAAGGTGAAAAAAAAAAAATTCTGAAGCAGCCTCCTGCAATCTTTTATTCAGGCAGACACAACTTGGAGAGCTCAGTCAAAAGCTCAGCCACCTGCCCTAGGACACCTTGCATAAGGTATGTAACAGTCTGAGGGACAATTGGGATAAAAAAAAATAACACTCCCTCAAAACAACAGCAGCAAACACCCACATGTCAGTGCCAAACTTCATGAAAAGGCACTGCATCCCACAGCCATCAATGTCCCAGCTGCTCACTGCTGATGGTTAAAGACTGAAAAAGCAGGCCCAGAACAGCACTTGGACCTCCCCTGCAGGTAGCTGAGGAAGGCAGCACAGCCAGCCGTGCTCATGCAGTTCTGTGCTTCAGCAGCTGGGTGGGTTATTACTGATAACAGAAGCTGAAAACTGAAATAAGACAGACAAACTGCAAATAATAAGGGGCTGACGGACAAACAGCAGGAACTGTGATGCTGCTGACAGAACAGGCTGCCAAGGACAGCAATACTTACACTCTGTGCAGTGCTTTGCAGCCTCAAAGCTTTCAGAAGAGACTAAGCCTCAGTAATTAAGCACTGTTCTTGTGTGACAGAAGGGGAAAAAGCAGGACTGCACAGGGAAGCAAAGAGCAGTCATGGGATGCAGGAAGCTGGGCCTTAGCAGAAAGCCAGTGAAATGCATTTCCCTGCTGTGTCCCTTGGAAGAGCAGAGACAGAGCTGAGGCAATTCCCTACCCGGGTGTACTCCTCCTCCGCGCTGTACAGCCAGGCGTGCTTGACCTTCTCCTTCTCCTTGGCCACTTCCATGATCTGCTCAAAGGAAGCATTATCCTCACTCGTGTGCTTTGCCAAGAAGGTGTCCAGGCTGGGAAGAGCATCTTTATCATCTTTTTCTGCTTCTCCTAACAAGAGAAGGGAAGAAGCCTGAGGAAGGTTAATGCCTCCCTTTCCAGGGGAGCACTGTATCCACCTCCTAACCCTGCTGGCAGCAAGCCTTCCACAGACACACCAGGAATGCCATCAAGCTTGGCCAAAGACACAGCTCCACAGAGTGGTGCAGGAATAAATCAGGCTTGGAACACATATAACCAGCTTCCAATAAACCCTTTCATGGTGTTTATAGCAATTTATTTTAAAGGTGAAATGTACAAATGGCCAGCTGCTGGCAGACAACTTAATTTTGGAAGAATTCAGCTGGAGAAACATAATTTTCCTACCTTCCTCTGCAGTCTTGATACCAGTCTTAGATTTATTTCCCACTGGAAGGCCACCTAGATGCACTTCTGGGGTTTCAAATGTGGCTGGGGTAACATCTGCCATCAAAAAAAAAAAAAAAAATCACCTGGTTACTGGAGCACACAACAGGATTTCCTCTAAGGATGCTGTACCAAGTAAGTCACAGAAGGCATATCAAGAGAACAAAAATTAAATTAAAAACTTGTGAAAAGAGCTCCAAAATGTTCTACTGAATTCTGTCTCAACCTCCAAACAAGATTTTGGCCTCATCTAAGACATTTTTCTCCTGCTGGGAGAAATTCCTAGGAGAGCCACAGCCCAGGGTGTAGTCACCCTACACCCTGCTTTTGCCAACAAAAGCAGCAGCAGATCAAACTGAGCCCAGGCCAGGGCCAGCACCTGCAGCAGGGAAGGAAGGGACACCACCTGGTGATGCCCTTTGCCACAAGAAAGCCCCTTACCCAAACCCCACTGCAAGAGCTCAGCCAGGGGCTGGGCTTTAGGAAACACCTAAACTGAAAGTGAAAGAAAACATAAAACAGAACACTGGATACCTGCTGTGGGAACCTCTGATAACCACGAGCTTCTTCTGTCCCTGATACATGAGAATCTCAAATATCTGTAGATGCAACAAGAGCCCCTAAAACTACAAACTAAAATAAGGATTCAAAACATAGCTTAGGGTTTCTCATAGTAGAGAGCACATAACCTAGAGAGCAGGAACTTGGCAAAAGATGCCTATGAGGAATGCTTTTTAAATGGCTGTTTTTCCCAAAACCATTCCCTCAAAGAATTATTAGACACCATCAAAGAGAAATTCAGCATGAGCCACCAGACACTGCCCAAACCGGCACACTCAGCTCTCATGCAATATCAACATTGAATCTTTAAGATAAGCATTGTCCGCACGAAGTTAGATAGAGCAGCAATATCAGATACACACCCCTGATGCCCCACAGAGCCAGTTCTTACAGGGTGCAGGTGTGTCCCTCGACGATTTGTTCAATGAAGAGCCAAACTTGATAGCAATTTGTCTCATTTTCTCCAAGTCACCATTTTCCTCAGCCTCCAGATAGTCCTTCTGTGCTCGCAACTTCTCCACATCGGGAAAAAAGTCTCGCTGGATGATCTTCTCTAAGCTCTGCAGAGACAGAGACAACTGCAATGCCCCGCTGGGACACCTGGAGCACCGGCTCAGCTCGGGGCCAGCAGCGCAAAGCCACGGGCGGCCCCGGGCCCCAGGCCGGCAGCCCGAGGGGCGGCCCCAGGCCCCAGGACGGCAGCCCGAGGGGCGGCCCCGGGCCCCAGGCCGGCAGCCCGAGGGGCGGCCCCGGCGCTATTTCCACCCGCAGCTGCGGTTGCAGCGCTCGGCACAAGCACCGGCGGAGCGGAGCCTCCCGGGCTCGGTCCCGGGCCGCCGTCTTACCTCGATATAGGCCTCCTCATCCAGGATCTTCTTCGAGTGCCGCGCAGCTGGCGACACCACTTCCTTCCCCGTCACGGCGACGGGGCCCGCGGCGGGAGCCGGCACCAGAGCGGCGGGAGAGGCCGGGGGCACCGGTATCGCCTCCATGGCGTCGGAACCGCCGCCGGGACCGCGCCCGGCCGTGACGTCACAGCTCCGCGCCGCGGCACCGCAGTGCGCGCCCCTCCGGCAGCGGCGGGGCCGCGCGCGCCCCCTGCCGCTGCGGAGGACCCGGCCGGTCCCGGGCGGGACTGCGGCGGGATGGGAGCCGGGCTGGGAGCCGGGATACACACGGGAATGGGAACCGGGATGGGAACCGGGGTGGGAGCTGGGATAGGAACCGGGATACACACGGGATGGGAACCGGGATGGGAGCCGGGGTGGGAGCCGGGATGCACACGGGAATGGGAACCGGGATGGGAGCCGGGATGCACACGGGAATGGGAACCGG